CCACTATTCTTGGAAAAAACAAAACACCCACAAACAAAAAAAACCCCACCAAACCAAAACAACCCCCAAAACATTAATTGTTCATTGAGGGTGTCACTTAAGAGATACCACAGCACCTTCACTTTAGTGGTAAGACAGCAAAAATTTCTACCACAATATTCTCCAGCTCTAAGTGCTCCTGTTACACCCTCACCATGTATCCCTTTTTAGCAGAAAGGGTCTTTTCACACAGAGCATCTGGCTTACAATGCCTTTTTTTTTTGAGGGAAGGAGTGGGAGGACAATAGAACCCTTAATGTTCAGTGACATCATTTTTGGCTCCAGTCCCACCATCCAGCCTAAAGCAAACCAGACAGAAGACCTCCACAGAGGCCCTTCTCTGGGAGCTGCTGGAAGCAATGCTACATTTCAGAAGTGACCCCATGGCAAGCGTGGAAGGGGTGCCCCAGCACAGCATGGTCCTCGCACTGTTAGGACTACAAAGAGGCTCTCGCCATCACCAAACAGACCACAACTTGCCCTGCTCCACCAGTCAGGAGCTCAGACAAGATTTGAGCAAAGCTGGATCCAGCAAAGCCAGTTAACCCTGGGGAAACTGACCTGTCCAGATTGTTCAACTGCCACTAACCTGAGAGCAGGCTGTGTCCCCAGGCCAGAGTTAAGGGACAGAGAATTTGCTTCACAGCCTAACGGGTAACACAGCAGAGGTAACAGGACCAAGGCCAACATGAAGAGTAGCAGGAAACACTTGAGAGTGTGCATTTAACCATGCACATAGCAGCAATTTTCATTTCGACCTCTAATGGGCACCAAGTGAGGGAGAACTGGGCATGCTGTACAGATCTGGGAAGAGATGGTTCCCTGCTTCACCATGACCTGAACCTATAAACGCTTCTCCCGACTGACACACAGAGGCAAAAAAGGGCTGCAAGGATAGGATTTCTCTTCTCTACTTTTAAAATCCCCCTGATTTTGAAGATGGATGAGCCTGCTCAGAATGAGGAAGGGCAGACACCTCCAAAGAAAGCTCCATCCCAGCTTTAGACACCTTGTCCCTAATGAACTCATAGAAGCAAAATATGACAAGCTTGTGTTCAGACATCTAAAAGCTGTTCACAGCAGAAGAACCCCACCTCCGCTGTCTGCCCAACACGGCAGACATCCAGGACAGGGTGGGAAACTGTTTGAAGTCTCCACAAGCCTCAGGGTAACTCCAGCATTACTTGTTGCGTGCAAGTGAGTATCAGCTACGCATCTTTGTCAGACTCATCAGGCCAAGATTCTGCTCAACCACGATGGCTCCTGACTGAGTAGCTATGCTGGCTTTCCTAAATATCCAATTCAACAACTCACCAGTTTATCAACTAACTTCCTAGTTCACCACCTCCCCGTTTCTTCTCACAATGCCTCTTCATCCAATTCCTCTCCTCCCCTGATCTGTCAGGTGGCGGGGTCAGACCCCACCCTCTAACACAGACACACTTGGAAGCCCACCGGAATCATTGCTTCCCCACTCCGCTGTGTCTCCTGACAATCTTTCTACCCTGTTCTTGCCCTCCTTCCAAGGAGTACCCTTCGGGGCAGTCTGTCTTTTCCTCTCCACCCTTGTCTCCCTTCATTGTGTCAGACCAAGGAGGCTTTGGATCCTGGGTCCTTTTCCAGCTTGAAAACGCTCAGAATACTTAAGCCACCACTATTTCAGAGTGGCCACTTCTAACAGCTCCTGTGATGTCCCAAAGCAACAGAAGAGGGCAGAGAGGAGCTGCCAGAAATAAGCACACAGCATTTGCTCCGAAACCAATGGAAACTGTCCGGTCCCAGAAGTGGAAATCACCCGTCATGCATGAAATACTCCTGGTTTCTACACACATGGGCTCACGAACAGCACAACGACGCAGACACCTGTGTGACAACCCCATCCACGCAGAGCCAGACCTGCTGCATCCAGCATCCAAAGCCCTGGCATTGCCCTCAGCTCTTCCACCACAACACAATGGGAAATACTGGTTGCTGAGGGCATCTCAAACATCCTTTCCATCCCCCAACTCCACAGCTGCAAAATCCACACACTTTGTTTGCTGCGGAGTGAGCACGAGTCATATCACCTGAAAATAGTCTTTCTTCACCAGAAAGCTGTATTTTACAAAACGTCTCAAGTGCCCCAAGGGGACCAGCAAATCACACTCTCATGCAGGCAACACCCTCATGCAGGGACAAAGCGACAGCAACCCAATATTCCTGTACATCCCCACAATGAGGGCTAGCACAGGAAGGGCAAGTACCTGGTTCCAGAGCTGCTAGGGGCAACTTCTTGGGAGAATATGCTATTTCTCTCTTAAATCCAACACACACCCAGAGCCCTTGGTACCTAAATGAGTAATTACATCAGAAACTCCAGACACAGAGCCTCATCACCTCCCATCTGACACCACTGTAGAGGATCAAACCATACCCACAGCAAACTGGGAGCAAGAGGGAAATGGGAGAAGCAACAACCCCAGAAGAATCACCTGGCTCTGGTCCAGGTAATGCCATGGCTCAGGAAGCAAATTCCTAATAATCAAGGCTTGCTGGCCAGTTAAACATGCCATCTATGCAGGGCTGCTGCTGTTATTAAATGTTTACACTGTATTTATTACAGTGGAGGACTTTCTGTAGCATCAGAAACTCAGCTCTCTCTATTCCCTGCTCTTTTCATGTACTTCAAGACTGGGGGGTGTGGGGTGTGGAGAAAAAAAGAAAAAAAATAAAAAGAGAGAGAGTGCAAGAGAGCATGCAAGGTAAATGAACCATGCAATAAAAATTGTTGAAATTGGCTCAGGCATCTCCTGATAAGATCACAGGAGTTGAGAAAGAACTGCAGCTCTACTGGTGAGAAATCCAACCATTGACAAAACGCATCCACTCAGGGAAAAAAAAGTAAAGTTAAACAGACACTTAAACACACAGAGCACATGCTGGAGATGCCAGTTCTTTGAACACTGAAGTCCAGAGTACTTTTGTCTTAATATGCTTCTGGTCCCAGGAGCCAAGGCTTGCACTCTTGGTATTAGCAGTCCCCTCTGTATGTTCATACAAACCAGTACTCAAAGTATATGGATCTCACACACTAATTCTCTGAATCTGGAAGCAAATTCGCCTCCACAGCTACAAAACCAGTCTGGCTCACGCCTCCCACCACCACCTCATCCTATGTAGTTCAGCCCTGAGCTGCAATACCACCATGAGGGTCTCTAGACCTTTTCAAGCTGCCATTGGGAATTTCTCCATAGACTGAAACTACTCATTCAGGGGTCTGTAGAGTACCTGGGCAACAACCACTTGCTTTTTAGTGCTGGGCTCTGTCACCTGATGGGAAGGGATGGATTTCCTTGGGGCACCCATAGGGTTCTAAGCACCAGCTCTAAGCCCTGCTTCTGGGTTAGCAACCCGTCCTTACTGCCGTAGGGTGGCCCAGCCAGCAGAGAGGCAACTGCAGAGCTGCAAAGTGCTTCCAACTCCTTGGGGACCCAAAATCATCACTCTGTCTGCACGATCCATCCTTGTGTACAAATCTTAAGCCCTAAAGTACACTGCAGACACCAGTTACCTGTGTTCCTCAAATGTCAGGCTGGCCATGGCAGCAGGATAACATTTCAGGAATTACTTACTGCCTCCCTTTTGACAGCCCTTCTGAAGCTTCATCTGCCTGCTCACAAAGCAAAGTGCTCCATGTTTCAAAAATGTCAACCTTCCAGCATTCTCCAGCAGGTAAGGCCCTCCCTGACATCCCTCTCAACCCAACTGAAGCTAATCTGGTAAATAGGAAAGGCTGGTACCCAATGCCAGCCTCAAGTAATCGTCAACACTTTCAGCAGCAGCACACACAGCTCCTCACTGCTGCCTGCCCAGCATACCAAACTTCTCCCACAGAGCTGAACCCCAGCAGCAACCACCATACCACCTCTCTGTCTTCTCTCCACAGCCCTTGTGCAGCACAAAGCAAAGCTCGTGGTGACAGTGAGCTCTGTGTAGTGACACCATCCCTTGTGTGTCCTGCAGAGCACAGTGGCACACACATCTCCACAGAAGGGCCTTTGCCTTGCCCTCTTGCCGAGAGCTCCTATGTCCCCAGGCTACACTCTACCCAGACATGGCACTCTCCAGCCACTAGTTTTCCCCATGATGCTGGCAGCTAGCACACAACATACTAGCAAGGGAACAGCCAGTCACCAAAAACTGAAGGAAACTATTCCCAATCTCCAACAAAAACCCACGCAGTAATCAAACTCTCCAAAGAAACTCCTGCACTTTGAGTCCAGCAACAAACCCACAGGAAATGCTTCTGGAACCAAGGCGGCTCCACTCTCTGGCCTGCTGTCCTTACACCCAAAAGATGCATGGGCCTTCTTCAAAAGCTGGAGTGGCTTCAAACAGCTGCAGTTAGCTACTAGCTAGGGAACCTGCCTGTACTTACACACCTACCATAGTGCCCACAGTTCTGAAAAAAGATCAAACCAGAGTTCACCAGGAGGCTGCTCGGGCTTGAAATAGGTCAGAGTGCTGGGATCCGCAGTTTCAGGAACACATGATTTGGGAGCTTAATGGCAGCACCTACTCCCTCTTCTGCTAAACGCAAGCCCGTTGCCACAGCCGTAACTCCCTCAGAAGTTGCCCCCTACCTCCTGCAGGGATCCTCCGAAACTGTGCTCCCTGCCAAGCCCAAGCTACACTCCATCACACCTCCCGCACCACTTCATCTGCTCTGGAAACGCTCGGTGCTTCCTTTTGTCAGTACTTGTCTGTCAGGTAGGTAGTTCTGCCAAGAACCTTAAAGCAGCTGCAGAGCTCTCTGCAGTTGCACATGCAAACTCTCTTAAGAAATAGCCAGAAGGTTTTGCCTAATGTAAGAGCGTAAACAAACTTGTTACATGCTAATCACCAGGTAGGCCACACACCCTTCCCCTCCCCCAGCCCCTGAATCTGCTAAAAGGACAGGAAATATAACCGTGGTCACATACCTTTGCTTCCTCGTTGATGTCCCACGTGAAGGATATGGCATTGTATGCGATCTCCTCAATGTTACTGATGGTGTTGAAGCTCTCCTTGTAGTCAGCTGTTAGAAAGAAGGATGCATGAAGGACAGGAAGAGGAGTCCTTAATCACACAAAGCAGCTAGAAACTGCAACTCCTCAGCAACCCCTTAGGGGCAAAGGAAGCTGAACTGTACTTCAGAACTGATCATTAAAAAGGCTGAAAATGGTCCTCGTACAAAACCACAACAAACAGAGGAAGAAGTAAAAAGGGACTCAGCAGAAATTCCAAACTAGAAACTCCAGTGAGAAAGGCAGACATCCCAAATATCGTGTGTCCTGTGCCATAACCTGCTATGTGCGGGAAACTCTACCCTCTATGGCAAGGGCATAAGCTCTCAATAAAATTCCTTCAATAACAAACAAAAGATTTGCATGCGCGTCTGCTTTAAGTGCCAAGTGATTAATCCCTGCTTTTATTCACAGAAGGAAGGGACCAGGAGTACAACCCAGCCTTCAGCCAGAGAAGGCTGGAAGCCAGCCAGCCCCAGCCTTGTCTGGAGGCAAGTGGAAATTTGCAGTGTTTTCTTTTTTTACATGCACCAAAGACCAGTTGTGAGCAAAGCTGTGGGAAGGAAGATCATTAATTTTGAGGTATTTCTACAAGGATTTAAGAGAGCCACAGAGTCTATAAGCTGCCATTTAGCCACAAGCACCGGGATACACCAAAGCAGCTGTGATTTGGAGGGGGGGTGTTAGACCTCCCAATGCAAAACCCTAAACTCAGCCTGCTCACCAACCAAAAACCTCCAAAAATCAGCCTCTTTAAGGAGTCCTAAAAACTACAGCATTAGCTCCAAGCAATCAAAAGCTCTCTCTGGGCTTTCAGCAAAGCAATGTATAGCAGAGAGTGTGATCTAAAGGCTCCTTAAAATAACAAAGCTTTAGCAGAAAGCCAAACCTTACCAAGGAATTAAGTTTGGAGTTTGACACCAGCAACCAGAGTGTTCCTTACCTATGTCAATGCATCTTTGTTTGGCCGTGTGCTGTCTTGAGTGCCAGTATTTCCAGTGCCTGAGCTGATCTTCCCTTGTTTTGTCTTCAGCAAACACAACCATGATAACACTCTGAAAGGACAGGGGGAGGCATAATATTAAAAAAAAAACCAAACCAACCCAAACCACATACCAAAAACCCCACAAACATGTGAAAGAGAAAAGGCTGGAGCACATTTGTTTTGGAAGTTCTCATTGGTATCAGGTTTTCTGCTTTAGGCTTCCCAACCTGACGCACCACAATATACCTGGCACACTGCTGCCAAACAGGAAGGCAGACAGCAGCACTTTCTGGGTCATAAACAGAGATGAGCAGAACTGCTCTCCTAACTGGAGTTCAAGGATCTCATTCCAGGTGTTGCATCACCTTTACACAAGTGCTGACACCACTTCTTAACAGACTGAGCCAGGATGGGTTGGTCTGGAAGTAGGTGGACAGCAAAGGAATGAACACTGACGTAAGAGAGTGGGTAAGCTGGCCTTAGTGCTGATGTTCTGGTTTAGATTACTGCACTTTAGGAGAGTTTAAGGCTACCATTGTACACACCCTCTTTCCCAAGAAACCACAAGAGCTGCCACTCACTCTGACTTTACTGATGGGGTGATGGATTCCTTCACTGCTGCTGACTTCTTTCAGTGTGATCGGGTAAAATTGACCTTTATTCAGGTAAGTCATCGTGCTGTCCCCAGGTTTCTGTCGGAGGGATTTAGAAGCTTCCAGAGTGTATTCAAAATTATTCCTATGGAGCGAAGAGGGCAGTGATTGCTAAGGCATTTTCCTGGAAAGCCGATTAAATGATCCACATTTAATCTGGAGAAATTCCAAAGTCGTTAGTTGACTCACTAAGCCATCAACAGGCAAGGAAGTTGGAAAACAGGATGAGCCCCTTTTTCAACCATTTCCTTCATGAATGAACACTTAAGAGAAGTTCTTGGCAAGCTAAATCCCAAGGCACATCAGCAGACGAGACCGGAAGCTGCCTATTCAGGCTGACAGCAGTAAGCTGCTCTCACAGAACAGAAAAGTATCTATTAGCAAGTAAATTCACAAGCTAATAAGCCATTCAATGGCCATGGTCTTCCCTTCCCTCTTGGTCAGCTGCAACTAATCAGTTTATTCCCCTCCTCTGGAGTTCAGAGGAGTTTCATACCTCCCATTTCTGCTGTAGATTTCCAGCAGGGAGAGCAAGGCAAGCAGGCCAGGGAGAGGAACACAGCTCAAAGCCAACTCCCGAGACCACTGCAGAGCTGACACACAGCACTGCATCGTCGCCTGGGACAGGGATTTGGTACAAGGACAGCGACTGAAACTGGGTGGTATTTCCAACCCTGAAGGTAGTTTTCCTTAAAGATACAGGGTAGGATTTTCAACTGTGTAATTCAAATGAGCAGACACTGTTGTGCTTTTGAAATACTCAGCTACCCCCAACAGTGCCTGACAGACACTCAGTGCAGAAAGGCATGAACTTGTACTGCTTGCTCATGGACAACTGTAAGAGAACAGGAGTATATGGGAAAATAGGGGCCTTAAAGCATTACCCAGAAATGCTGTCAAAAACATAATCTTCTGAATTCATGTTGGCCATCCGGAGATTCAGTTCAGTAGGAAAGAAAACCTGGGGTAGACACAAAACAAAACACAACAATTAACACAGCAGCAACAAGAAAAGTCAAGATTAAACAGATACTCATTACCACAGAACTTCTGGCAGGCAAATTGATCATCAGATAACAACTGATTTTTGGTCTGTACAAACAGGACACTTGAAGAGGGTTTTACTCCAAAACTTTTGGGTGTTAACTAAGCACAACATCTCACAAGCCTTCTGAGCTTAGGGCAACATTTTAAAGCTTTCCCATATCTCAAAGAAAGGGCATAGCTACACAGTTCCTTGAGGTCTGGCTTAAAAATCAAAACACAGTTACACTGCTGTTTTTAGTTGGTACCATAAAAGAAAAAAACACAGATTTTCATCCAGGTTTAACTCTCACCCAAGGCCCCTAAATAAACCGATTGTTTTTAACTGACACACACCACGCCTAGAAACTGGCAGTAAGGAAGCTTACAGACACAGTCACTTCACTTTGGTACCTGCAAAGGCACTGCAGAGTGCTGAACTCTTGCAAAACCTGGCCTGGTACGGTGGATCAAGATAACTATTTCCACACTCAGCAAGCCAAAGGCTCTGTCACTGGTAAGATTAGTCATTTGCTTTTGATAATGATTTCATGTTGTAAAGGTTTTATTTACGAAGTTATACTCATGCATCTTTGTGTGAAAGCTTTCTATTCCTAAATCACTGGACAGATTTCTGGCTCACATTACAAGAACAATTAAAGATGTAACTGGATCTCTCCATCCCGATAGAGACATGCACACAGCAACTGCCTCTCTTAGTACCTCTTGCACGCCCTCCTTGAAAGTTTCCGAGAAGGTGGAGTCTGGTGTTCTCCTCTGGGAGTTTTGAGGCTGGGTGTTGGAACTGAACTGGTCGGGGTTGAGGTTCCTGTCGAAGACCACCACCCGCTCGGGGGGCTCAGGATGGTAGACACTTGGTGGGATGCCCACTGCAAAGCCATGGGGCTGGGTCTCCGTTTTGATGGAATGGGTGGGCATTGTGGCAATTGAAACGGTGACCGTTGTGTCAGGGGTTGTAAGGTGGCCTCGCTTGTCCATGCCCATCTGGGGTGTGTGTGGAAGGACAATATTGAAAGGCACATTTTTCAGAACCTGAACTCTATTTTCTCCAGCAGAAATCAGTGACTGTTCTGTTACATTTGGGATGCTGTTCCTTTAAAGGATAAAGAAAAAAAAACATGCATAAATTATACAGCTCATTTTCTCCTTAAACAAGAGCTAGAAACACTTCTCAGCCTTTTGGACAAGCACAGATGATACCAACTCTCCTGCTTGTGCATCTCAATTCTAACCTGAAAAGCTGAGAAACTCCTTCAAAAACAAACCCTCACCCACTGCTAACAACCCCACCTTGGAGATGAATTACCCTGAAGCAAAAGGCGAGGGTTCGCAGCCCAGATGCTCAGGGCTTGGAAAAAAGCAGTCCAAAACTAAGCACTTTGAGGCCGTTCCCCCATCAGCACATGCAGGCTTCATTAAACTGGTGTTTGGCAGATGAAGAAGGACCAACAGCAAGGTTGCTGCTCCTCTGCCCCAGGACTGCGCGCCACCCGGGAAGCACTAATAGGGAAATTACACCCATTTCATGCACAAACCCCCAAGAAAATCCACACTGAGAGTCCCGGGAATGGTTTGCATAACCTCCCACTCTCCACCCCACGACACTCACTTCTGCCAGGACAACCCTGAAATCTGTGGCTGAGCTGACCTCATAGTTAGTAGCCACTAAGTCAGCCTGCCCTCCCTTTCTCCCTCCCCACAACGTCGTCCTGCCCTCTCCTTCGCACCAATTCTGACACTCCCCTGCCCCCTTGGTGAGCCAGTTCAGCTTGTTACACAGGCAGAAAACTAGCCACTTTTTTTTCCTGCTAGGTTATGGGTCAACGGAAGACCAGAGCTGGTATGAGGGGAGCACTGGGAACACATGCCTGGGAACCAGACTGGTCTCCTCAACAACGAGTCGTTCGATCAGCTCAGCCAGACCACAAAACCTCACCTCGAGTCCTTAAAGCCTTCTAAGTCTGTCCAAAGGAAGAGGATGGTAGGAGTGGAAGCCTGGCTTGAATGAACCTCACATTCGTAATATTTACTTAATCAGTATCATCTTCTGCTTGGGAGGCATGAGAGGGAGGGCAGGAAGAGGAAGAAAGAAAGGAGTTCCAGAGGATACAAAAGAAGTCCACAAACAGTACAAAACCAAAACTAAATCACAAGCACTTTGAAGTCCTTCCCTATCAGTCCATGCACGAAGCAGCAATGCTGCTGGTGCCCAAGAACCAAATCAGCAGTGAGCAACTGAGGCAACCGCATGCAAAAATAAAAGGGTTATCAGTCACCTCTGCAGCCTTAGGAAGAGATACCTGTGCTACCAGGCTGTGCCTAGCGTTAAAATGAGCAGCTTTTGCTATGCTGACTGTGTGACACCAGTAGACAGAAAGCAGATGGATGGCAATGAGCAGCAGTTTGGGCCTCAGCTCTCGACATCATGGTCCAATTCCCATCATGTTCCTGGGGCAGCACAGGAATTTGGGGCACAGAGTAAAAGCAAACAATTTCTCTCTTCCAGCACAACAATGCAGTGCAGCTAGTTACTTTCCTTCAGCACCTTGGTGGTCTAGGAGGGAAGGGAAATAAGCAGACATGCAATAATGAAAACTAATACCTTTTGCTATGGTCTTGGTCAGGATGTTCTACCTCTGGTTTAGCTGTTGAAGATCTTCTCTCCCTTGGAACCTGGGAAATGTAAAACATGCTGTAATTGCATTCTTCCTCCCACGCCAAAAAGAAAAAAAAGATTAGCTCCTCAAAACACAGCCATTTGCTCAAGTTAAGAAAGCATCACTCTCTGATACCAGACATCATGAGCATTACAGCTTGACCAGTGTGCACACTGCTCTGGGATGCCAGGCCCACACCACGCGATGCCCTGCAGATCCCCATGTAGCTGACCTGGCCAGCTGTGCCAGCCCTGGGCTCCTGCACCACAAGGCAATGGGAAAAAACAGTTCAGAAAACTGTCCATGCTTGACTTGAGCATCAGCACCGGGGTGAGCAGGACCAGGAGGAGAGCCCCCACATACTGTGCTGGTAGTGCAGGCATCTCCTCTGCAGGCTGGCAGGGTTCAGCCTGCTGCATGAGCTCAAGACTTGTGAAAGGAAGCTGCTCCACAGCTCCTTCCCCAAAAACATGTGCTCTCTAGGCCACTTCCTCAAAGACCACTCAAGGTCTTCCTTTCTCCTTGGAGACCAGAGGAATCGGGGAGGACCAGGTCTAATAAGCTCATTTTTTGTGCATGGCTGCATACTACACACTGACCCAAACTGTAGTAAATCTTTTACAAACAAAAGGCAACCCACCACTGCTCTGGATTTAAGACAGCTGCTTCTCATATTTTATGCTATGGAGAGGATTTGCCCTGAAAACACCACACACAACACAGATTACACAAGCCACCCAGTCCACACACAGGCACATGCCATCTTCCTGCATGCTGCAAGGCCAAGACACACAGAAGGTGGTGAACTCTTTGACCTGCCGTGGCTCGGTTCACTGGAGCACACAGCCAGCAGCCCAGCTCCCCCAGTGGCTCTTGCCACTGCTGGCACAAACCCACAGTGCTCAGGTCCCCTCGACTATGTAGCAAGTCCACACAGGCTCCTTTGAAATGCCCCCTGAATGAGCAAAGCAAACACCTTCTGTTGTAAGGAAGAATCATCTCCCACCACCTTCCTTCACCGAAGCCCGCTCAGATACTGTCTGTGTTTGCCAGCTGGGTTGCAAGATAGGGAACTACCACTTTACTGCTGACTCGAAGGCTGGTGGCATAGCTGTGTGAACAGCCCCCAACTAAAACTGAAATCCCGGCTCTTCCACATAAACTGGAATCTCCAGTAACACCAAAATTGTTGGATTTTCCCTGATAACCAGCAAAACTTGGAGAATCTCTAGCTGGAGACTGCTAGAAGGCCAACACTAAGTAGTCACTGGAAAACAAGGGTCTTCCAAGCTCCATTTGGCCAACACTCCTAAACTCTAGGCTTTGATCAAAAATTTGTTTCCCATAAGGCCTTACTAACCACAGTTGAGCTATGAGGGTAGCCCATTAGTCAAATGGAAGAAAGCTTGTTGCTTGGTTTTGCTGTTTATTTTTGGTTTTGTTTTTTTTTAATACAAAGGTGATCTCATTAGTGGTCTTAAATACCACAGAGGGGCCATATTAGAAATGCCTAGATATTGTCATTCTGCCATTACTTCATAATTGGTCTCAATAAATCTTTCAATCTCTAACCTTTCTGCTTCACCCAAGTATGCGGCATACCTGTTCTTCCACCAATTTTTTTGTACCCAAACATAAGAGGAAACCCCAAATTAGACATTAATGTACAGCAAATCCCTTCTGCTTTACCAAGCGTGAAGGATCAACGTCAACATTCTCTTTGTAATCTACAGGTTTAGAAATCAAAATTGATTTTGTGGATTAAAATCGTTCTGGTGAAAATGTTGGGGTTTTTTTTCCAAAAGCATAGCAAGCACAGGCACAAAGCAGAAAGCCAGTTTTCTCACAAAACTAGCTGAATAACATCCACATCAGTGAGTTTGTGGCATTTTGTCGTGTGTGCGTGTGGAGTGCTAATCTCCATATTAAGCATTACAAGAATATTTTGATATGCAAGACATATTCAACTCTTAAAAGGGCAGGCAAGGATTTTGTATGCACAAGGCAAACTCTCCTCATTCTTGAAGGCTGGCAATTGCACTCACTACTGTTAAAAGACACTAACCAAAGCGTCAGGCACACGAGCCAAGTCAGCCTTCTGGCCGCTCTGCACATTCAGCAAAGGAAAAACAGGCATCTCCACCTGGTGAGCCAGGCTACCATATACAACGAGCAGGACACCTCCCTGCCTGGAAACAACTGCTTGGACATGGACAGGAGATAACTACCCTGGCTTAGACTTCTGGTATTTAGGAAAGAAAGCCCAGCAAGATGTATCCCATGCAAACCAGAAGATTCCTTGTTTGGCTGTGTTCATCTAGGCTGTGTTCATCTGTGAGCATCTAGGAAGGTGCAAGTCTCTGAGAAGACCATGAACACTGGGGAAGACAACCACAGTTATCAAAGGATTAACAGAGCGCAGCAGCTGAAGCTCACTAAAGATTAGAGGGATGCAGACAGCAACTACTTCAAGTGGACACCTCCATCCCAAACACCACCAAAAATCTGTAGTTATAGCTTAGTATCAGCTGATACTAAGGTAGCACATCAAAGCCCCAGCAAAAGCAAACAGTCCCACCAGAATAGGGATCATGTGAGCAAAAGGAGAGAAGCTTCTTTCTCCCTGTATATTTAAATTCAGATAGGGACATGCTCACAAAGTCTCAGTCTTCATGACTACTTCTATAACACATTGCCTCCTGTAGAACCTGGAGTTGAGAGACAAAGTGCTACTGAAGCTTTTGACCCATTAAATTAAGATCCAAGGGATCTTATTTTACTAAGGTAAAAATAAAACCATTTTCAGAAAAAAGGGACATGGATTTTTTTCCCATTTAAAAACCACAGTCCTTATGATCTATTCATAGCTTCTGTAAAATCCTCTAGTAAATGACACCTTTTTTGATAGGTGGAACAAGAGCTCTGCTGGCTGCCAGAGCGTACCCACGCCAATCTACCTTGTAGTAATCATACAGCAGTCCGAGGGCAGCTGCACTGTCTTCATCACCATTGATGCTCATCATAGCTTTGGTAGCTGCTGTAAGGGGATTTTCAAGAAAGGTTTTCCAGGCCTCATCTTCACTGGTGTATGGACGTCTCTGAGAGTAGAGAGAGTCATTCTGAAGAACCAACACAGGTCTTTTACTTGTACCATAAAAAAAGAAAAAAAGAAAGAAGAAAAAAAGCCGCCTGTTAGAACACATGAAAAACATTCCTGAAGTTCTTCAAAATTAGCTGCCCCAGTTTCACGGGGTTCATATTCTGATTCAGTGTGCTACAAGGATTAGTCAACACAAAAAACCCAGAATCCTAATTCTAATCTCACTCACGCTCCATGTAAATCAGGATTAATTTGACCAAACTCAGCTGGATTACACCAACCTATATAAAAAGGCAAAGCTGTTTAAGAGCACAACTGACCTGCTCATGCTCTGAATCCAACCCAGAAAGAGTTACACATGCTTCCTGGCCTACCACCTACAAAACCTCTAGCACATCCTACATAGCATTACCAAGCCACAACGTGCTCCAGTTCCCACATGGAACTAGAAAAGGTGAATTAACAAAACATCTCTTTCCCCCAGAGATTTCAGAAGGTGTCTGTGCTCTCAAGAGTACACCTGAAAACACCACCTAGAAGCTGCTGATTAGTTACAGACTACACAGGGAAAGTGGTCAAAGGGACCTCAAATCAATCTGGCAGTGAATTTTTCTGACAAGGGAAGCCAAAAGACTCACTGCCTGGTTATTGTTGAAATAACCCATGATACTAGTTTGAGACACCCTCAACAGGTGACTGGGGGAAAAAAAAAAAGGAAAACTGGAGTTCTCCCCTTTATGCTGCAGTATACAAAGAAAAATTATATTTACTCTGAACATTTTGAGATTGCTGGGAACAAGAAAACTCCAAGATGACTTGGACCTTCTGCCCACAGGTAAAAGTGGGACATCTGTAGAAAATGCTGTCCTATTAGTTTAGGCAACTTAATATATTTTTGTTCCGTTGGTAAAATATACCTTTCATCTTTCAAATTAGTTCAAGCAAAAGTCAGATTTAAACGACATTAAATTCAGTTGTTTTCTTTCCAGTGAAAGTGTAACATTAGTTTATGGTAGATGGGTGGGGAGAGAAGGGATACTTTATTTTCTTAAATAATCCCAAACTTGGCATTTTTGAATGCATTGGTAATAGTTTAAAGTAAACAATTACTAAAAATCCTGGAACCCCACAAAAAGCACTTCCCCAGCACCATCACACCTCTTCCCAGGAAGATAAGCATTCTTTTCATTTATCTACCCAGATGCACTCAGAGATTGAAATATACTACAAATACAAAAAGTTGTGCAATACAAAGTTGTGAAATACTCTAATCACTATAATCAGCTTAACAGTATCCTACATTTATCACCATCTTCTACCAAAAAGGCTGCACAGCACTTTGCAAATTCTGTGTTCCATCCTTTATCAGTTACACAAGGAGTCTCGCTGAGCTTTAATGGGACAGCTTGGCTGAGCTCGAGCTACTCAAAGAGAGTGGGAGTTTCCAGGACTTGTAAGAGTACTTTGTGGCTATAAATCAGTATTATATAGTTAGAAAAAAAATCAAACAACAACAACAATAAAGACAGGCTCTTGCACCAAGCCCTTCCTTCAGGTCTTTGAATATATTTGTGCACACGCTGATGCAGCGTACCAAAATGCAGATACTTCTGGTATCGAGGACATCCACTTTCTATCAAGGACTGCACAGCAAAAAATAAAGCAGAATCTTCTTTATGGACATAGTACAAGCTCCTGTTCTCATATAATTTAATAAAATAATCTTAGAATATTTGTAACAAATGGGTAAATCCTCCAGTTCAAAGTCACTCAGTCACTCCTAAAGAAAAAGGCAACTGAAGTAACCTGGGTGAAGTTCACTTGATCCATCCCTGCCAAGCTGAAGGGCTAAATCAGCCTTGCTGGAACTCACAAGACCACTAAGCTGATTCCCACCAGCAACACAATGCTCACATGGAAAGAGAGAGAACCAAGGGAGAACCAAAATACTAAGAACTAAAGCAGCCACTAACCAGAAACGTAGCAAATGCAAAACCTACATAATTTTGTGCGAATTTTAGCCATTGCAACACCTAAATATAATGCATATTGCCCTACAGGTAATCTAGCCTCCTAAAAGCAGCACAGAAAGAATTATCTGCAGAATTATCAAGGGGAGAACAGGGTTTGGCAGTAACTCAATCCTTTAACAGAACCACAGCTTCTTTCAGGAAAATGAGAACATATTAATAAGAGAAGGAAAACATTTCTTCTTAAGTTTTAGGTTTCATGATTACTGGCACGTGAACCTCCTCATGGCGTAGTAGACACGTCCAGCAAAGGCTGGAAAGAAGTTCCCTACTGCAGTTTTAATAATTTCTGAATTTTGTTTTCTACACGACCAAAGTGGAAGCAGAGGGATATTACAAACAGCAACTACTCTCTCTCTGTAAAGGTCCCACAGCCTGCAGTGTTCTGTGTTCAGAACACAGAAACTGTTCTTACTTATTTTACAGATGCAAAACCCACTCTTTCTCTCCACCGCCGTGAAATTTAACTCGAGACATTAAGAGATCCTCAGCTGCACGGTGCTTCATACCCGCTCTTGCACAGAGCACACCTTTAGTGCTGAGGCAGCAGAGAGGATTTCTTTCATCGGCTTCTACATGCCAGAAAAGTGAAGCGCACGTACCTAAACTGCTATGGCCTCATATATTAAGTGTCATCGGAGGTAAAAATACATATGAAAAATACTAATCACAGGGTGAAGCTAGTGACTTGCTGCGTTATTCCTCTTTCTAGAAAGTAGTATGTTAAAGGAAAACAAACGATCCAAACTTGGGTAAAATCCTATGGTTTCCCTAGGAAACGAGTGCATTTGAACCACCGATCATTCAAAACGCAGTAATTTTATAACCGGCTCTTCAAATCACCTCAGAGTTACCCCACTTTCTGTTCACTTACGGCGCCCACGGCCACCACCTCCAGACGGACCCGGTGACAAGTGCAGAAACCACCCCAAGCCATTAAACGCTGTAAGGATCCGTTTGAAGACGCCCCGGCATTCAACACCACGAAGTTCAGAGAAGACGCCTTAAGCTCGGTTCTAACTCTTAAGTCCCGCTTCGGCGCAGTACGAGGTGGCCGCAGCCGGGCTCACCGAGAGCCCCCCCGGCCGCGGCGGGTCGCTGCCGGCCGACCCCCTTACCTGCCGAAATCCACCTTGCCGGAGGGGTGCGCC